TGTTGTTGTTGATGTGTTTGCTGTTGTTATAAATATTTATTTCTCTATATGTTTTCATCTATCTTCTCCCCAGACTTCCCCGTATGCTGGAGGTGACGATGTCTGTGGGTCTGTCCATGCAGAAGGTTGTCCATGCTCTCTGCCACTTCACATTCCGGCTCTGTCGAACGTTTGGAAGGACTTTCACCGAGAAGAAGGTTACTTATCATAGACTTTAAGAACATGATTCGGAGCTTTCTTGTTGCAAGTTACGAACCTGCTAAATTATTCTTTCAGATAATAAGCCACCTGTGAACCCAAAGCGTGCCACTTGCATAACTATCTGAAGAGAACTAAACTGGAGTGTAGTTCAGTGTGTCTTTTTTGCTCCCTGCCCGACAAAATGCCAAATGCACGCACCAGCTTTTTCAGAGGCCAAACCTACATAGGTTCTTTCATTTTCCAATTTCTGTGTCCTCTTTTTCTCTAATCTTCTGAGGGCTAAGCTTATGTGCTTGATCCAATATAGTGCTGCTGCTGTGAAGTATTCTAAAATTTGAGCCTTGGATTTATGTTCCATCTAGATCACTGAGATCAGGCGATCAGTATCTCTAAAGAGTTTCCAAGAGAGGAAATAAAAAAAATTATCAGAAAGATCCTTCACCCGTTTTGCTCCATCAGTTTGGAACTCCCTTCTGTAACCCCCTAGACACGCAACATCGCAGTCTAAATTGAAGACATACTTAAAAACACTTTTAATGAACTAATTTCTAACACACTAGTTTTATTTTCAGTACAATATTATGTAACTTTTAATGATTGGGCATCCATTCTAAATATTTTTGTTTTGCTACGGATTGCGTATATTACGCTATGCATTTGTATTTCTCATTCATAATAATGTATATGCATGCTTGTGATCTACATTATTATTATTATTATTATTATTATTATTATTATTATTATTATTATTATTAATATCATTATTATTTAATGAAAGATAGGGGTATATACATTCAGAATTGTTCCAGAAAAAAGTGGTTGTCTCAGACAGGTGAAGGTCTTGGACAGTGCCATTATAATATAAAGAAATATATCATCTGTACCAACGGCCACTTCACTCCCCCCCCCACCCCCTGTGTGGTTTTTTTGTACCCTAATGAGACTGTAAGACAGCCACCTGTCTAGGATGGCCACTTTTCTCCTTGACAATGGGTAACCACCTGAGCCAAGTTTGACTGTATATTATTTCTTTTTCTGTTCGTCTTGCCAGGTGAAGCCCAAGTTCGAGGAACTTATTGAAATTCCTGATGAGGACTTTGGTGAGTGAATGTACACTTGGCTATGTCACTGCTGTCCTTATGTGTATATAATTTAAGTATGGCTTCTTTATGTGGTTGAGGTGGTGGCGGTAGCCTGGAGGTTACACTACTGGACTTGTAATTGTGAGATTGTGGGTTCTTCTTGTTCTTGTTCTTCTTGTTCTTCTTATTCTTGCTCCTCCTCCTCCTCCTCCTGCTGCTGCTGCTCCTCCTCCTCCTCCTCCTCCTCCTCCTCCATAACAAACATCACTGTCGGTCTGCTGGGATGTTGTGCCCCACTCTGCTCTGGTTGGGCCTGACATGGTAGGACGGAAGCAGCCCGCCTTGTGAATTATTTGACTTGTTTCAATGTGGGTCATGCAAACAATTTTGTCATAAGTCTTTGATCGCATATTTGCTGTGGTAGATAAAAGGCTGATTTAATCATATAGAAAGATTCAGTTTCCTCACGAAGTACCAAATATTTGACTGCCCTTGTATATATTAATTAGCATATGCTTTTGTTTAGATTTGCAAATATTTCTGTAATTTTGTGTGTCATTTTTCAGATGCCCAGCTCAACCAAGGTCATCTGGCCATCTCGACGTGTATTGTTCCAGTCTATGCCTCTGGCGTCCTCATGTCCTTTGTCACTGTAAGTCTGTGTGTCTGTGTAGGTGTCAGACACTGTAATTTGTGTGTCTGTGAGTCTGTTGCAGTCACTATCAGTACTCTTTGGATTCCTATTTTGTTGACTTTATGCACTGCAACCATATTGATATTCTGATGGTTTAAATTGTAATATGTGTGGGAGTGAAATGTCTTTTTCACCCCGTTTTTCCCTACAAGTACTCTAAGTTCATGTCAGATATACGTTGCCTGTTGGTGGTTGGTGGGTGTTCTGCTGTGGTTTGCTTCTTCTTTCCTATAAAAAATCTATCATCCTTATTTCTCTTTCTTCTTTTTTTTGGTTGTATGATACAGTCTAGTAACACCTCTGATCTTCGGCATTTGTATGACCTAATTGTGCTGCAAGTGCCGAAAAACTCTTACGAAATAAAAACTTAAAACCCCCCCCCAACTATTTTGTCTCCAGGATGAGGACAAGAGCCGTCTAAGCCAGTTTTTGAAACGTGTGCTGTGTACTCTCGCCTTCTGCCAGGCACCGCTAGACAGTCTCAAGGCCACGCTGATAGAGCTCAGGTGGGTGCTCAGTGTCTCAGTGTTGTCAGCTTTGTGGTTAAGCCGTAGCTGTTCCCCCCCCCTCCTCCTCCCTTCTCCTTTTCCCTCTCTTTACTCCCCCCCCCCCTCTCCCTCCTCTTCCTCTCAGTGGGCGGTTGGCAGGTATTGTGGTATGGTTTGCTCCTTCTTTCCTATCAAACATCTATTGCCTTTATCTTTCCTCCTTTTATTTGTATGTTACTATCTAGTAACACTTCTAATCTTGAGGACATATATTACCCAATCGTTTTGCAAGTGCTGTAAAATCTTTACTAGAACTAAATATGACCTAAATGTGTTGCAAGTGTCGTAAATCTCTTACTAAAACTCAAAAAGGGCTCTCTTTGAGTCTTGAAGGGCTTAAAAATAAAAAACGCGACCAAAACATTAGGTAAGAATATTTCATTTTAGCCATGTGTTTTTTTCTCTCTCTGTGTTTCAGCGACAATCCATCCAACCATGAGCTCCTGCTGTCTGTGTTGTGGGATGGAGTTGTCCACTCTTCTGCCCAGGTGCGGGCCGCCGCCGCTGCTGTCTTTGAGGTCAGTTTTGTTGTTGTTGTTTGTTTGTTAAAAAAAACAACACAATGATTTTACTTCCCTATCGACACAATTTGGATCATTTAGGATGCCGTGGATGGTTGGTGGGTGCTCTGGTGTGGTTTGCTCCTTCTTTCCTGTCAAACATCTATCCCAGTTGTGTTGCAAGTTGGGTAAAACTCTTACTACAATATTTAGGACACAGGGATGCGACATTCCAGCAGAAAGATGGAGATACTCAATTAAAATTTTCTCCCCACTTGGGAATCGAACTTGAGTCTCTCATGTGTGCGACAATGAAGTGCTTAACTGCTACACCTCAGACATTGAATTGATGGTCAGTCTATGATTGTGTGGACATTTCTCTGGTTCTTTTTTTTGGTCTATCTGTTGCTCTCTCTCTCTCTCTATCTCTCTCTCTATCTCTCTCTCTCTCTCTCTCTCTCTTCCCCCCCCCCCCCCTCTCTCTCTCTCTCGATCGCTTATGCTTTTTGTATTCACTAAGTTCTGTGCTTTGTTTAGCTGCTTTATATTTCCTTCTTTCTGTTGTTTCTGTGTGTCTGTGATCATGCGGTCATTTATCTGGTGCTTAGTCTTGCCACTTTGTTTGTTTGTTTGTTTTTCCTTTCTCTCTTTCTTTCTTCCTCTCTTTCTTTCTTTCTCTCTTTCTTTCTTTCCCTCTTTCTTTCTATAGTTTCTGTCTGTGATCATTTAGTCTTTTATCTTGTGCCAAGCTTCGACACTTTTTTTTTTTCTCTTTCTATTCTTTTTATCTGCCATCATTAGATCACTTCTCTAGTGCTTAACCTTGACACTTCTTTTTTTTTCTTCTTTCTATTGCTTCTGTCAGTGATCATGTGATTGGTCATCTGGTGCTCAACTTCGCCTCCCTCCCTTTTTTTTTTCTCTCTGTCCCTTGTGTTTATCTGACTTGCTTTTTGCTCACATAAAATGGCCATTATTTTGACGATGTGCGTCTCTTTACTCACCCGCGAAGTCAAACTCAAACTTCTCTTGCGGGTGGTTGGCAGGTGTTCTGATGTCTGCTCCTTTCCTGTGAAATATTTGTCGTCCTTTTCTCTCCTCCTTCTATTCTTTGTATGTTACTCTGTAGTAATATCTCTAATCGTTGGCATTTATATGACCTTTTGTGTAGCAAGTGCCGTGAAACACTTACTAAAACTTCTTTTTACTTAAGAGGTGTTGTCTCATTCTGTTAGGCCTCTGTCGATACCACCTCACTCCCACCTCGCACTGTGCAAGAAGTCCTCTGGGGGAAGTGGTAGAGAGAAAGAGTGAAACATAGAGAGTGAGAGAGAGAGACAAAGAGAGAGAGACAGAGAGAGTAAAAGAGAGATAGTAAAAGAGAGAGAGAGAGTGAGACGGAGAGAGTGAAGAGAGAAAAGGAGAGACAGGGAGAGAGAGAGAGAGAGAGAGAGAGAAGAGAGAGAGAGAGA